TAATATAATTTCTTAACCTCAAGTTGTAACTTTTTCAATGTTCTATCTCAGTAAATATTTGTTCGAAATAATACGTGTGTAACTGTGTGTAAACGAAAATGTATATCATTGTTGATACAACAATATTATATATTGTCAACAAGTAAAGAAACGCATCACTCCATTGATTTCTTTTGAGTTAAAACTATTGCATATATTTTTTTTAAATGATTCAAATGATTAAAAATTTTGACATAACGTTTCTGTAGTCATAATCACCAAATTCTGTCCAAAGAACACAGAAGATTGTTGACAAGTTAATGAAAACAAAAGTCGTGAATATTTTGTCACCTAAAACAACGAAAAACGACTTTGAATTTCAGTTTCTTTATCGAATTCTTGTCTAATGACTAATTTGAAATTAAAATGAAAATATCTCTGTAATCGCTACATTAATTGCAATATCATGCTGTAAAACTTGAAGATTTGTTTAAAAAATTCAAAGTAAAAACAAGAAATTGTAAAAATGATATCTACGTAATCAAAATGTTGTGTTTTATTTATGTTGTTAGGTATAGTTGTTAATAGAAGATTTATTTGTACTAATTTGTGACCTTAATTTTATGTCATTCACTTATACTGCACTGTTTTTGCTTCATATCGTAGTCATTTTGTTTAATTTGTCTCCAAACAACATTGTTTTCTTTTTATGTTGCTTTGTTTACTTTTATAGATATAAGAAGATGTATAATCTACATACCATAGCACAAATTTCAAAAACAGAAATTTAGAAACGGATTAAAAAAAGTTAATGATTTGGTATATCAGTTTACTCATTCACCTTGTCTGGGGTGCTCTAATATAGCATCATTTGGCTGCACACTAAAACAAAACAAGAACGAGACAGGGTGAAGGGTAAAGATCTCACATTAAAATACATGAATCTGTGCCGTATGTTTGCCACTAAAATACGTTCTTCGAAGGGTTCTACTACATTTCATATTTTCATGGCATTTTTATGTGTTGCTTCACAAGTTTTAATCAAAACGCCATTTTTGTTTTAATAGTCGTTATAAATATAAAAAAAAGTAGCTGTCGGAAATATGTCAATGTCACAGCAACTCAAACGATTCAAATAACATTTACACGTCAACATATGAACACTTTTGTGACTTTTTGGTCAGACACCGAATCTGTAATCTCGTTATGGACACTTTTTTTCACTTTGAGGTTTGTTTTTCATTAATGTGATCATCAAAACAAATTTTCTTGCAAATTTCAGTTTTAAGAAAAAAATAAGATCTCAAGAGTGTGGTTTAGGGTAAGTTTCATCTAGCTTTGTTACTTTTTATATTGTTTGCGCTGTTCATAATTAAATGTTAAAAAAAAGTTTATATACGTTGTGATAAGAAATTTATGAATTATGAATTCAATATTGAAGCTTAAAGTAAATAAATCTACATATTTTTATGTAAGTGATATCATATCATTTCATTTTTTTAAATAAAAGGCAATACTTTCAACGTATTTAAAAGAAATATTTTGTTGAAAAAAAATAATTCAAGCGATAGTCAAACCAACCAATTTAACTGTGTATTTAAACGAATTATGTACTGCAATAATGAGGATTGTGATCAAGGAAAAACCATTTAAAATATAACCCATTGTATGCAAAGATCCACATTCATTTGCATTGAAAACGTACAGAGAAATAAATCCGTTGGATGGGTACTGCTTAATATTTTAGTATGGGAAAACATGTTTTATTTATCAGTTGTAATTGGTTTTCCATCAGCTTCAATTAACTCCGAGTACTGAACAAATATATCATGTTATAGAGGGGTATTTGCGAAAAATATCAGTCAAGGGACTGTGAAATTTCCCGAGCCGCTAAGCTTGGTCCCAAGACTGGTATTTTTCGCAAATACCTCTCCATAACATGATATATCTGTTTAATTACACCGAATAGATTTTGATTGAAACAGTACAGGTGAAGGGAAATTTTTTTTACTAGTAAGCTGTAATCCATAAACATGTTTATGCATACTTTTGAGGATAAGTAGAGACTATCATATTACCACGGGAATTATACATGTACTTATACGCGTTAGCGCTGTCTTTATATAACGTCATGGTATCTATAAACATCATTATCATTCCATCATAAAAATCGTTGATTTTTATTTTCGTCTTTTTCCACTTTATATTCACAACGCATTCTTCAATATACGATCACGAGATTGGTGCAGTGCAATCGTGTTGTCTGACTTTTTTGTTTACAATTTTCAGATTACCTCTATCAATCAATATTGCTTAATCATGTTGCCTCAAAAATCGGGATAAGGTGAGAAAGATTCCGAATAATTTTGGCGGGAAGAGGCTCGCGAGGGTAAAAAAGGAATATCTAAAATGGCAAATACCACGGCAAAGAGGGGAATTTGAGGCATATTCATCGGCAGTGGTGAAAAACAGGCAAATTCGTTTGAAATGAGGAAAAAAGGTTAGAATATGCAAAAAATACACTAGCTACCAACCAATCAAAATCCGGCATTCTTATATAAGGTGTAATTATATTTGAAATATGCGTTGTGCCTTTTATTATTTTGTTATTTTTTGTAATTATTTTTTGTTATTATTTTGCTTCATGTTGATCTTACAAGTCATTTAATTTTTAACTGCATATATGCTGTTACACGACTGTCAAAGCTTAGAAGGGGTTAGGCAATTGCAAAATCTGTAACTAACTACATTCTTTATGTGCTAGTCCCATTTCAATTTTTTTTTGCTACCTGTCATCCCAATCGGTTGGTCTTCTCTTATGAAATGGGTCGCACTTTTTCATGCCGGGGTCTTTTATAACTTAGTCTACGGGATTGGTTTTGGTCATTGGTGAAGGTCGTACGGTTACCTGTAATTGTTTAAATCCACGTATTTTGAACTCTGGTGGATAGTTTTCTCATTGGCAATTAAAAATCATCTGTATCTTATATGAATCGTACTATATTCATTAATCTGAACTTATCTATATACACATTTTTGTTTTCAAATCGTTCCGTTGGTTGATATAGTTGAGCGTTTGTTTTTGCAGTTAACTCTTCTTGTGGACTGTTAATCCTCGATGTTATCACTTGCCTAGTAGCCAGTAATTCGGTACTTGCATGGATATACGTTTATTTGTTATTAAGATTTGCTGTTACAAAATTTTGAAAATTATTTTTTAAATAAGGTATATGTCTTCTTCATGCAAAGCTTCCTTGTCGGACTTTAGCTATACTTTTTGTCCTTTTTGGTTTATGATCTCTTCATCTTTTTAATATGTTTTGGATTTTCAAACATGCTCGGTTGCAGGGTCACGGAGACATTCATTGTCGAAATGCACATATGCTGCAGAAAAAAAAATTATACCTTATTTTATTAATACATGTTTAATATGTGTAGGGATTGAATCTCGTCAAATATATTCCTATACAGGTTTAGCTTTGTTTTAAGATTTATACAGCAGACTCTTGACTTTGCTCATATTTGGGTTAAAATTATTATAGTTTGATAGTATTATGTATTAGACTGAAAGTTTATTATTGTGGATAAGAAATTTGAGTTTGATTATAATGAAAAAAAGGTTAATATTCAAAGTTTATGTCACAATGTATTTGTGTTTCGTTCAACTAGTTTCACCCTACCACCTATTTATATAGATTCAATAAGTTGGGACCCTCTTCCATTGTTCTCATACGGCAAACTTCTTATTTTTTTCATTAGCGAACCAAGAGTTTATAAAAGATCTTTGTCAGTCTTAATACGGAATATTAGACAGTGTTGATTTAGAGCGTACTGACTTGAAAATGTTTTTTTTTTAAATATCATTATTTCCTTTGAAAGGTTGTGTACCTTTTTGTCACTGATGAGTCTATTGTTGACAAAACGCACTTCTGATGTACAAAAGTTTGGTCTTGGCATCTATGATGAGTTATTGCTATTTAGAGCACTTTATATTTGGCGTCTTTGTTAGGGAGGTCAGCCAAAATATGAAGTATAGAGAAAGTGCATGAAATTACATTATTATGGAAGAGCACAAAAAAAGAAATTCATTGGTGCAAAAATTTTGGGAATCGGTCAAGCGGTTCAAAAGTTATGACCATTTATATTTCAAAATTTTGGCCGTTTTCCTTGCGAAGGCAAAAATATCATATTTTGGGCTATTTTTCAGGCCAAATATATCAAATGGGTTAGGAACTGCAAGCAATCTATATGCATTATTGCAATAAGACTCTTTTATGCTTTGATTTAAGCCACTATAGTCCTTTGTAACATCAATATTAAGAAAACTACAATATCTCAAACTTTGTAAAAAAAAACTTTGGACTTATTTTTTTTTTGCTATGTGTCAAGGGCATCTTTGAATAAACTGCTATGTTAAGACATTGATATCTTGAAATGGAAAGCAGGCAGAGGTCTGGTTGTTTGCAGTTATGTAAAGATCTAAACAGTCAACAGAAATATATTAACAGTTGTATTGCCAACATATCTGAATTTTTTTTTAGCCGACTCAAAATCATGCCGGCAGGCCCCCCTTTTTTTAGGTAGTTTTTTTTGGGAAAAAAATACATTTTTGGTCAGACAATGCTGGAAAAAAATCCCTAATTTTTTCTACTACTTGTTTTGTATTGGTATTAAGTTGTTTCACAAATAAAATAAGCTCTGTAAGCTAATAAAAAAAAATTGAATTAGAAAATCAGCATTTTGACGTAAATTTTTGAACTATTTTTCGCCAAAAAGACACTAAAATTTACACAAAAACTTAATTTCTTAATTTGACAGTAATTTTTCACGGAAGTTAGTGACCGTTACTGTGACTTTACATGTAAAAGCACCTTTTTGTCATATATTAATAGAATTTAATGCAATACAAATTTAAAAAATGGTCAAAAATAAGAAATGTTTTGACAATTTTGAAAATCGCGGATTTTTTCAAATATTTGCGCAGTTATGCAAAAATTTAACGGAAGATAAAAGATTATTACACATGTTTGGTATCATATTAAAGCTTACAATCTTAGCTTTCAGATGAACCTAATTTCATTGTATTTGGCTGATTGATATTTATTCTAGATGGAATTTGATTAGCCCTATACCTGCATGAAAAAAAACTGTAATTTTGAAAAATCCCAAATTTTGACCGAGAAAATAAAAATAATCCATTTAAACTCTAAGAGTTAAGTCATTGTTTAGTCAGACATTGCTATAATGATGTTTTCTCTTGGAAAATGTATTATTTACACTAAAATATTCTCATTATTCAAAAAAATTGGTAAATATTTTGCGAAAAACCTGTTATTCCTATAAAAAATGGATATGTCGAGAAGTTATTATATATAAAGACCAAGATCAAAGCAGTCTTTAAGTCTAATAATCCATTGGGATTTGCAATAGTGACTATCTGAACTGTTTTGGTATTCATTATAATAATGATACATTAACTATTCATCATTTGACTAAGTTTATTGAATGTTCTAAAGTATATATTTTCAGGTCCGAGCTGTTTCTTCACCAGAATTTACCATATCTACAATAGACAATATGTACATTATACAAATTAAATATTTTGTATTTGTTCAATTAACTTGAGAGTACCTGCAGTTTCTTACAATTCATATAAAATCTGGTTTACATGCAATCTGAAAAAAAAAGACTTTTTATTTTTGAGATTGGCTGCTGACAAAGTGGTTTTTCTGGATTTACCGTCATCAGAGATGCTCCATGTCAAAATAAACAAATAAAACTCAACTAGATATCATTGAGATGGGAGCCATCTCTGTGGGCCACGCTGTGAATAATGTGTGGTAAAAAATTTGTATCTTTATCATTGGACATGGGGTTGTCAACTGAAACCAAAGTTTTTGACCTTGACCTTTGACCTAAGAAGTTGTACATAAATTATGACACACCCTCTGGTGTTGTTTTTTATACACATATCAAGTATAAACTTTGAAATCATAATGGTTCTCAAGATATAGAGCGGACACGATATTTACCATAGGACATGGGGTTGTCAACTAAAACCAAAGTTTTGACCAGAGAGATGTACATACATTATGACACACCCTCTGGTGTTGGTTAATATACATGTCAAGTATAAACTTTGAAATCATAACAGTTCTCTAGATATAGAGCGGACACAATTTGTTAAGGACGGACGGACAGACGGACGGACTGATCACTATAGGGCGTCCACCATTCGGCGGGGCCCTAATAAAGGTCAAATCAATTTGCTGCAACCATTCTACAAATAAATCATTACAATATGATAATTAGTACCCTGGATACATTTCTACAAAAGAAGAAAAATAGGTTAAGAAACTAAAAGAAAACTAAAAGAATTAGTGCTGAAAGACAAGAAAACAATCATTAATCTTGCTGAAAAATAGTTTGTCTATAATAAAATCCACACATCTCCATTCTGGTATTCCTCTATATATAGTAGGCTTCTTGAAAACATTGCTGTTGCTGTCATTGACATCACCCCCTTCTCAAAGTCGTATGCAATATATGACAACCCTGTATCTGCATCATGCCCTGTGTACTAAAACTCCTTCCCATCAGCCTCTCGACAAAATCTGTGGTCTACTCGTCTAACTACAATAAAAGCTGGATCCAGGGGCGCCTCTCCATGTCGTTGTTCCCTAGAGTGTGCCCTGTCCTAGTGGAAAACCTTAAGTTAATCAAAATAAATCTAGACTGTTAAAAGTAAGTTCTAAATCTTAAACAGAATGAAGAAATTTATTAAGGTCAACTCATATACATGTGTGTCCCAGTAATAACTTTGTTTGTGGAGATATCATTGCTCATTTTTACATTGTATTTAATTCTTTTTTTTCCGTATCATATTATATTTCTGAATCTGTTCTCTATGCTTCTTCAAAAAATTTCTTATTTTTTGTAGTTTGGAAAAAAATGAAAACAACATGTTATAAATTTTGTGCGTCCAAAGTGCTTTTCTGGATTTACCTTCATCAGGAACATATTAAGATGCTTTTTAACTGTGATTCCCTAAAGAGAACCCTTTATTTTACTTCTATTAAATGGTTTGACTGGTGGTATTATAGCACTATCTTTAAGCATTGTATAAATTTTTTTTTTTTAAAATTTAAAACATTGTGCAGAAGAAATTTATTTAGCTGAGCTGTAGAATTATATAATATTAAATTCAAATCATACACATACACATACATGTTCAGGATGTGCTTCATCCAAACTTTCTAACCAATTCACTGTATGGGTTTTGAGTCCAATATTGGTATTTCCCTCCAGGGCGTTGGTATAGTGACTCTCCACATGACTCTGATGAGACTGTCTAACTGGGAGAAGATCCTTTCAGGCAGATGGATGGACAGACAGTATCATTCCTATAAACACAACAAAACTTTATTGTATAATAGACTAACAAATTCAATCAAATTTCAAATAATCTGAATTTTTATTATTTTAATACAAAAATTGTTCAGAGGAAAACAGATTTTTAATCCTGATCATATTTGTAGATAGTCATAAAGTACATGTGTTATAAGTAAACACAGCATCTGCAATTCTGTTAATAACTTAACTGTCAGTTAATAGGCATCAATATTAAATTACATAATAAAGTAAAAGTGACAATTATTAAATTCAAAAGTCAAGGAATAAAATCAAAAGTTTGAATATAAATATAAATGAAGGATGCAAATATCAACTAGAATTCTTTATAAACAGTGTGCATATTTAAGAAAACATCTACAATATTGTTTATTATGACCAATTAGTTAAAATAACATACTCATGCTACTGTTGAAAAATCATAAATATAAATTTTTAATGTACATGTATAAATGTGTGCAAATATTCTTCCAAACTGTCATATGTATACATTTTTGACAGAAAGCATTTTTGAAAAAGAAAATTTTAGTTCATTATGCCTAATCCATAAGTTTAGAATAAATATATAGTTGGTAATATACTAATCTATGGTTTAAACAACATATTCCTGTCTCAAAATGAAAAAAAATGTAATGTGTTCAAATTATACCAACTATAATCAACTGCAATGTAAAGCACCGAAAAATCCGAGTATTATCAATGAATAAAACCCGAGAAATTCCGAATGGATCACATTCCAACGTTAGGAGAATTTACCTCATTACATATTCATAGCTTAATAAAAAGGCCATGGGGAGCGTTTAAAAAAAATTGCTGGTAGAAAGTCCCTTTCAATTTATAAGTTTAATATATTTAAACAAAAAAATACATCCTGGAAATAATTTAAAGTTATTTTTGTTGACTTTTATGAAACAAGGAATTCCCCTCCCTGAAATATGGCAAATTTGCTAATATAAGATATAATAAAGGTACTTACCTTACGTGATTGGCCTCCGTGGCCTATTTCCAATGTTGTCTGTCCTCTCAGTAAGCAGTCCGTCCAAAAAATAGTCGGTAAAAGTCATTTTGTTACAAGTTTCATGTTTCATGTAAGACACAATGGCGGATACGTCATTTCCGGAAGTCAAGAACAGATAACTCTTTTCGCAGATTTTTTGCGTGAAAACCACGCCCTGCTCATACAAATATCCAATCAATTCCGCAAGCCGCTATTGTTTTCCATGTGAAACCATGGATACGTGTGGAAGGAGAGAGTTCTGGAATTTATGAATCCGAGTGTCAGTGGTGTTTACAAAGTCGTAAACGATTTTTTTTTCACATCTATTTCAAAGATTTTTCATATCTATACTGAAAATCGACCGTTAAGTATGACTGACAACCGGATCATAAAACTTGAATATATTTCCAAAATTTTAAGCCATCAATGAAGAAATTCTGACGAGTAATAGCTTGCGGAATGAATTTCAAAATCAGTAGTACCTTTGACACATAGTTTTTCCGGCGGCCATTTTTTTTCAAAACAACTCCACTTCAAACATTTTTTTTATCGAACCAAATCACTGCAATACCCATAAAACTTATATATTTAGAAAGATAAATGTCTGAACTTTAATTACATATCAATTGTTTGCTCATACAATATATTTTTCACCTTTTTCAAAGCAATTGAACTTGGGTAAAATCCGATATTTTTGCCGTCGCAAGGAAATCATTACGTTACGATAATCGCATTGGCGACCTCCCTATCTTTGTGAGATTATTTGCATGTTTGCTTGAATTTTTTAGTCAGTTGTGTTGTATGTCTGTAATGGATGTTTACCCCGTTTTGTCTGCTGGATCCCAATTATTGTCACACTACCCAGTTATGTATATTTGGGTTGCTTAGCCGATTTTGTCAATATCATGAACTATAAACATCTGTCATACAAGTGGGGGGTTTAACTAGCTATAAAACCAAGTTTAACCCACCGTTTATCGGGAAATGCCTTTACCAAGTCAAGTATATGGCGGTTGTTGTTTTTTACTTGTTCTGTTGATTAATAGAGTTTGATTTTGTCAGTTTTTTTTTTTACTTCCCTTTTTGAATTTGACTTTGAGTTCAGTGTTTTTCTTATACTTTTATTTGTATTCGCAAAAGAAATATCTTACACGCTTGTTAATAGTTTTTACAATACGAAATTCCGCTAAATATCTAATGAATATTAATTATTTTCTCAAACGAGGGAGGCTTTGTGAATCAGATATATTTACAAAATGCACCTATATTACTAGCATTCCTTTATTTGAACCAATACGAAAATTTACTTCTATTCAATTAGGTATTTTTAAAAGATGCATGGTCTCTAAATCAACCATATCTAGATAAACTGAACTTAGTATAGGATAATAAAGCTTGCTTCCTTTTATCTTATATCAATGAGAAAACAAAACTTCTTATAAAAACCCTTTCAAAGAAGTTTGGATAAAATGGAAACACTCTTTTGGTTTACTTTTATATCTATGGGTAACTTGATATCTCTTCATCTTTAGGTGTCAAACACTTATAAAACAAAATAGTTAAAGTTGTTCATACGGAAATGCCTGTACCAAGTCAGGAATATGACAGTTGTTTTCCATTCGTTTGATGTGTTTGAGCTTTTAATTTTGCCTTTTGATAAGGGACTTTCCGTTTTTAATATCCTTGGAGTTCGGTATTTTTGTTATTTTTCTTTTCAATGCATATCCTGTGTGAATATTTTCTCGTATAAAATCAATTTACTGCTATGAAAATACTCGGTTGATAAAATGAAAGCGTTTTAGGCTATCTGGGATTTAACGTAAATATGAATCGCTCTATGGCATGTCCTTCAGAGTATGTTTTACTGTATGTCTTAATCTTTTTAAATTTGCAATCATGGATTTATTTGTTCCTATGTATTTTTTATAATAACCATAACTCTTATAACCATAAATATGTCAATCTATCGATTAAAACTCAAACAATTGTATATGTGCAGCTGAAAAGAGGATTTTTTTTTCATAATCAGTGGGTCGATAACGCTGAAGATCCTTGGTTAATTACCACCCAAAAGTAAACGAAAAAAAAAAAGATAACAACACATAAATTTGATGCGTCCGAATAGCTTTTCTGGATTTTGCTTCATCAGAAACGCCTAAAGCAAAATATTGTTATAAGAACCGAACCAGTTGTAGAGATATGACCAAAAAGGACATTTTGCCAAAAGCAAAGGAAACAATTCATCAATTACTTTCTACATAATAATTCGTAGAATAGAACTTAAAACACGGAAGGCAATACATTCCTATCATATTGGAAATGAAATAAAAAGTCGCCGAATAAACAATATTTCTAGTATTTAACAATCATTTACGTCTTTTTTTTCAGAATGGAAGAAGTAGAATATTGTGCTGGATGTCTTCGGTGTGGTGACGAAATAGTTGCAATGTTTTGGTGTGCACATTGTAGCGAATATGTCTGCAATTCTTGTGCCAAATTGCACAAAAAAATGCAAACACCTCATGCCGTTTTGGCAAAAGAGCAATTAAGTATCAGTTCAGAACTTCTTAGACTGGGAAGGAGTTGTGAAATGCATTGCTTACAAAAAATTGTTTTCTTTTGCTGTCAACACGATCAACTTGCTTGTGATAAATGTAAGTCAGAATCGCATCAAACTTGTACATCTATCGTTTCCATTGAGGAAGCAGCTGAGAATGTTAGGAACGGGACAGCTTTGTCTGATTTAGAAAGACGGATTAATAATTTAAGTCAAAGAATCGGGGGAATTCTTAAGTATAACAAAAATCCAATTGGACATGATGAATATGATAAAACCGAAATAAAGAACAAAGTTCGTGATGTTAAGCAACAATTAGTACTTCACTTTGAAGAACTAGAGAACCAGCTGTCTAATGATATCGATAAAATGTTCCCAAACTATGTTCAATCAGAATCCCTTGATCTTAAGAATTTAAAAACAACTCTTAAAACGCTGGACAGTTGGAAAAAAGATTTAAAATCCCTAAAAGAAAACACATCTGAAATCCATCTATTCAAAGTCATCAAGTTCTTAGATAAAGAAGTTCATGCTCAAGCATCGGAAGTCGCGAAATGTACAACAAACAAACAAGTTATAACCTTTGAACCTTCAGAAACGTTATTGAGTTATAAGACAGCATTCCCATCGCTGGGAACATTAACAATCAAACCGTTGTCAAATTCTACGACACTGAACCCGGAGAAAATACGACAAAGTCAAGTTCCTGTTCCTGACCGCCGGGAAGCACTTTCTTTACTTCGTACATTCAAAGCAAATACTCTGGCCGAATATGTTAAATTATCAAGGGGATGTTTTATATCAGCAGATAAGTTACTGCTAAAGCCGCAATTTGGATTTGTCCTTTACGTTTGTAATCTTCATGGATCTGATTCAAAAACAATTACGTTAGATTTTTACCCAGAATGCCTAAGCAAGTTGGATAACAACCAGGCCCTGGTATCATCCGGTGAAAATTACATACAGGCCATTAACCTTCTAAATATGAAACCTGGGAGAAGAATTAAGACCGGAGGAACATATTGCAAAGGACTTAGCAGCATAAATGGAAAGATCTGGCTCAAAGGCGATGAAAAGACCCTTTTTTCAATTGATACTGATGGAAGGGAATTAGACAAGATAACGACAACAATTGACCCGCGTGATATTTGTGTACACCAATCTGGGGATATTTTTTTTACTTCAGAAAGTAATAAAATATTTGTAATAAGGTCCGACAGAAAGACACGTTTATTTTATCGCCCACCTTTTAAACACCCTGATCTCGTCCATCCATCAGGTTTAACTGTAGCTGGCGATGAAGTGTACGTTGCAGGGATGGATTCAAATAATATACATAAAATTTCAATTGATGGGCAGAATCACACAATTGTTCTAACCGAAGGTGATGGCATAAAGGAGCCGATTGGACTATCTTTCAATAGTGAAATAAAAGAACTAATGGTCTTAAATAACCACGGACTTTCGATTGACTTTTTCAAAATTAAATAATTTATTATTGTTTTGCATGTCTAAGTGGCTGAATAATTTGCAACAGCAGAGTTATTTCTTTGAAAGTATTATTTAACAACTATATATTTACGTATTGTTTTCATTATAAGACAATTTATATTTTTCTAAAATTGAACGTATATGTTATTTAGAATTTGCCTGACTTCTAAGACATTTTGTAAAACAGCTTAGACAACTTTAAATATATTCTCTATATCGACTTACCTTTATTTCCTATTCCTTTCATATAGGAGTTTGTTCATATTAAGTCTTACTTATATTACTAATATTACGAAGGTAAACAAATTATAACCATATTAACACTTTACAGTTATGTGTATGTTTTGTTTATAAATTTCCAATTAATAAGTTTCTGTAATAACATTCACGGTACCAATCTCAATGCAATAGATGGGATTTTCGACATTATATGTCTCTTCAGTGATGCTCGAGGCCTGAAAATAATCCAAAACTTACTCAAAAATTGAACAGCTGATGAAATAAAAATGGTTTTCACAACGGTTCCAATTTTACTGCACCAGATGAACATTCCCTCAATTCATGGCTTTTCAGTGATGTACGAGTTAAAATATAGAATGCAAACCCTAAAACTTTGAAGAGCTAAAACGGTTTTTGACTGTTCTATATATACGGTGCATAATGGTAACGGACTTTTCGGGTTTTTTTCTGCGATTCCTGATTTAAAGTGTTTAGCAACGGTCTTTTCGTGATACAAAAAGAGTTATACTGCAGGTCGGAAAATAACAAATGACAAAATGTTGATTATTCAGCCATCCTTTGGGAGCTGACTGTTTATGACTTCCCAAACAGCCAAACGGACGCCCCACTTTGGTAAGGGTTTTACTTCCGTTCGGAAGAAGACCAAAGTGACCATATTTCTATTCACCAGTCACCCTTGGGGACACAAAAAGACCATCCTGTGTTATTTGTGATATAGACACTGGATATTTATCCTATATGTCTTGGTACTTTCAGATGAATTCTTTGAGAAAAAGGACGAGACGTTCTTGGACCCTGTCTCATCAATTGTACTCTCAGACACCAATGACGTTTTTACAAAATCCGAGTCGCGCGACGAGGAATGGATCATGGAGTGCATTATTGTTATTATTTTGCATAGGTGACAGTGTTGTCTAGAGATTTCTAGTTAATAATAGTTCTTTGATCTTCTTGGTACTTGATACTTCGAGTTAAAGTAAAAATCAGGAAACCAGTCAACCTGGAGACAAATTATTCAAAGTTTCGAGCTGACAAGTTTTACTCTTTAGTATCGCTTTTACTTGGCGCAGAAAAATTAAAATCACGAGTTGTTTGATCGTTATAACCGTGTGTGTAGTAACCATTAACAATGTCACTAGTGGATTAGAAA